GGGGCAGTGAGAATGGGCCAGGTGGCAGGGTTGTGGGAGTCAGGCTGCTGTGGGCACTGAGCGGAAAGGCAAGACACTGCGACGCTTGAAGTTATTCCTGGAGGCGCTCTAGTTCCTGATGGCACTGTCTGGGGTGGAGCGTGAGAGTGAGTGTCTGAGGATATGACCTAGTCACTCAGTCCTGTCTGTCTCTCTGTGACCCCATGGGCTGTAGCCCGCCAGGCTCCTCTGTCCATGGGATTTCCCCGGTAAGAATACTGGAGTGGGTTGCCATTTCCTCCTCCAGGGGATCTTCCTGACCTGGGCTTAGAACCCGGATCTTCTGCGTCTCCTGCACTGGCAGGTGGATTCTTTGCCACTGAGCCACCCGGGAAGCCCATGACCTTCAGGAGAAGAGGTCAAAGGATTCAGTGGACAGGGTCAGGAGGGACTTGCTGAGGGGACATCGATGTCACCGAGAATTCTGGCAACAGGGGTGGTGAAGGTGAGGGTGAGCCAGGAGCAAAATCCACCCAGGAGGGAGAGGGTGGGCTGGGGGTGGCGATGACACCCCAGGGAGGTAGCAGGTTGTGCCCTGAGAGTGGTGGTGAGGTTAAGTGAGGTTATGGACACGGGCACACAGCAGGTGCTTGGTAACTGGGAGCTGCTTTTTAATCGTATTGGTGACCAGAATATGGTACCTGGTCTGATCGTAGGTGAGAACATAAAATGAGGAATGTGCTGGAACACCTGTGGTATGGGGTTTACATGCACCTGTTTCTAAAAGATGTGGCACCTTCCATGTCTGCCGGTCATCCTTTTTGCAGTATCCGGAGACCCTACGCTAGAGAGTGGGCCAGCCAGGCCTGTTGGGAGGGGTGGGAGTGGACAGATAAACGGGCCGAGGGAACTCGAGTTGAGCATGGAGGGAAGGGTGAGACCAAGGACCCAGGTTTTGTCTCCTTACTGGGGTTAGGGGCAGCCCTTGAATGTCAGCCGTGACATCTAGTGCATTTCCACAGACAGCAACCCAGGCCCCTCATGCCTGACCTGTAGGGGCAGGGGAGTGTCGACAGGATCAGTCGGTGTGTTGGGGTGACACTGCCTGTTGGGGGATGGCTCCTGGGGCAATGCCCACATTGCAGAGTCAGGAGCCCCAGTGGCTCAGAGGGGGACAGGGCCCCTGAGCCCCGGTTCCAGTTCCGAGTAGGTGCACCATGGCTGGCTTCTCTGTGGCATTTGCTGTCTCTGACACCCACTGTGTGCCAGTTGTGCTGTCAGAAGCACCGAGTTCAAATCCTGGTCTTTCTACTCTGTGCCTGTGTGAGCTGGGACCAGCACCTCACCCATCTGAGCCTCAGTTTCTCATTTGTAGTAGGTATCAGAGTCCCTACATTTCAGGCTGGAAGACATTTATGGACTGAGTGTGGTGGTGAGAGCAACATGGGGTGGAAAGTTTATGTTTTAATAAACTTCAGACCTCATTTTACAGGGAGTTCAAGTTCCTTCTTTGAAAAGCCTTTGCCAGGAGCTGCAGCTATTATGGGCTTCCCTGGTAGCTCAGATGATAAAGAATCTTCCTGCAATGCAAGAGACCCAGGTTTAATTCCTGTGTCAGGAAGATCCCCTGGAGAAGGGAATGGCCACCCACTCCAGTATTCTTGCCTGGAGAATCCCGTGGGCAGAGGAGCCTGTGGACTACAGTCCACGGGGTCGCAGAGAGCCGGTTATAGCACGTGCTGATTCTCCCCGGCTTGCTCTGACCCGTGCTTGAAGACGCAGTTGGTACACTCATCCCTCCTGGCATGCGTTCATCCACTCCTTCAGAGGTTCTCACTGGGCAGGGATAAGAGGATCGCCAGTGATGTTGCTCTGTGGAGGAACGTCACGTGAGCTGTTAGAATTCTTCCTTGCATTTTCTTTGTCATTTGGATCAGTTCCAACTGCTTTCCCTGTCCATGGAGGTCTGGCAGGGCAGCACTCACCAGAGAGGTTGTCCTTCTGATGAGCGAGGCCAGTGCTGTTTGCACCTGAGTGGGCAGGGCCCTCACACAGGAGGGGCTCAGTGATAGGATGAAGGGGGTGCTGACTGGCAAGTTCCTGGGAGGCCTCTTCCTTGGCCAGGGTGCTGCTCTGCCCCCATCGCCGTCATCCATCAGGGCAAGTTCACAGTTTTACCTTGTTTCCGTCCAGGGAGTTTTAACCATGGCCATCTCATTACTGCCTGCTGCAGAATAAGCTGCATAGCCTTTCAAGGCCGTGGCTGTCGCACCTGCAGCCCTGGCTAGTCTAAGATCTGGAAACACGACAGTGTCGTCATCGCATCTGCAACCCACAGGATGACGGCACCGTATTCTGGGCTCACTGGCTCTGACCAGGAGTGGGGGCTGGGCACCCCTCGGGCCTCGGCCACACGGGGGGAACCCTGTGGGCCCTGGGGATGCTCACAATCCCCTCAACAAAGGGTCCCATTGGCAGTGCTCCAGGGGAGAAAGGTAACGAGAAGCAACTTCCACTTAACATCGGTATAAATCCCACAATCAGGAAAATTGCTTCAATTGCTAAAAAACGTTGGTGGGAAAGTCCATTTATTTTTCATTTTTCTTGTGCACTTGCCACCCTCATGCATGAATCACTGTCGGTATGTAGATTAAATTTATACCCCCGTTATCTTTCATGTCTCTGGGGCTCTGGTGTCAACTGGGCTTCTGGTTACTGAAAACCACTGCCTGCTTTTTAGTGGGGAGAGGATGTGGCCCTCCCTGTGGGTAGGGGCACGGCGGGGTCTCCACTGTGTTTTGGAGTCTCTGCTTTGTTTTGAGGTCTCTGCTCTGCCTTCCTCCTTCTCTGGTCTCCACCCTCGATTCAGCCACAGGACTTGCTTTTGGGAAAACTCTAGTTCTTCTCTGGAGCTGCTTCTGCTCTATCCTTTGCAGCAAAAGATTTGAACACTCGGGTTTTGGTGGTTTACTTGAGAGGGTTTGCAGTGAGCAGGATGAAGGCATTGTTTCATTTCAAACACCTGCTTTGTGCATTGCCTTGGACTAGATAGAAAAACTATAGGCAATTTGAAAACAGACTCTAGTAACATATATGCAGGCTTTCTTTCTCTTTGTCCCTGAAACACACACACACACACACACACACGCACGCACACACACACGCGCACACATGCACACACACGCAGTGGAGCTGGGTGCCTGCCTGCCTTCCTCTCTAATACAATGACGTGATTAGATAGCAGTTGTGGAAGAAGCCTGTTCTCACCTGTGCCCTGGGAGGTACTGAGCCACAGAACCACCTAGAACTGACAGTAGACTTTGTTCTCCATTCTCAGATTTAGCCATCTCCATGCACAACCTCTAAAAGCATGGCTCTTTATTCACTGACTTATTCAACAAATGTGATCTCTACTTTTCTGGGTCCTGGAGTTGAAATCTGATGAAAGCTTTGAAACCTTTTGAAAATTGGTTGAAAGCCCAGACCCTACCTCTTGATGCACAATTTTGAACAACTCGGGGGTGGCTGACGGAGCCTGTCCTGAGCTCCAGTCTGAGAACCCCTGCTCTCAAGAGGCCTGCTCCATGCACGCCACCCTCCTCACAAAGCCCAGAGGCATTCCAGGAGTTCAGAAGTCTGGGATTCTTTCAACACAAACGTCTCAGCCTCTCACCCCCTGACACGCTCCTCATATCTTGTCTCAGTGGAGCAGTCCTTGCGGCCACACTCCTGGCTCTTTGGGGGTTACCCATCTAGACTCCCACTTCTCTGTGACTGTGTCCCTGGGAGGGGGCTGAAGCCACAGCTGGCCACGCCTGCTCCAGGCTCCTGCAGCCCCCCAGCAGGTATCATTACTGCACAAGAGACCCATCATTCTGCATTAATCTGGGATTCATCATGATAGCCATGACCATAATTAATTTATTTGGTATTAATGTGGATGAAATATGTACTGTCCTTTCAGGGGAAATCAGGCTGCCTATAAGCATTAGTTAAAAGGACCATTAAAATCAAACCTTCCCCAGATCCATTAGGCGAAGTCTTTCATCCTGAAGAAGATAAAGTTCTGCTGTGTGAAATGTCATGAATAATTAGGTTGATTGCTGTTTTAAACTCTGCCCCTTCCTCCCCAGCCCCTCCTGCTCCCCTCCTGAAGCAGGGAAGGCTCACCTGCAGTGGCTCCCCACCGCCCCCCCCTTTCATCGCCACCTCTACACTGGCCCCAAATTTCCCTCTGACCTCTGGGACCACTGGCGTGGCTCTATGTGTGTGGCCAGAATGGGGAACAGGGCTTAAATGACCCAACTGGACTATATTTTCAGTGGGTCTACTTCTCTTTCCTTCCCAGCCTTGGGCCAGGCTGGTGGTGGGCACCTTCCTCTTACCTCAGTGCTGCTCCAGAAAGGTGCAGACGGAGAGAGGTCTGAGGCAGCATCCTTTAAACTCGGGTCTGCAGACTCCCTGCCTGGAATGGTGGCAGGGGTAGAAATGCAGATTCCTGGGTCACATCTCTGGAGCTGTGTGTGGGAGGGGGGAGGAGGCTGGTAAGGATGGTTTGACATGTGCAGGGTGGAGGGGAGAGGCAGAAGAGAGGAACCATCGCCAGAGCCCTGCTCTGCTGCGGAAGTGCGATTTCTCTGGAGCGCCCGTGTGGATCCTGACATGAGGGGTGTCCCGGCCACACGGCTCCTCCTGTGGGAAGCACGTGAAGAGGTGTTCTGCCTGATGCTTTATGCACATGGGCACTTGCAAATTGCCCTGTGGGACTGGTCCTCTAGGCTTCACCATAAGGCTGAAGAGATCAGGAGACAGAGTGTGAAACTGTCTGCTCAGTGGGGCTTGGAAAATCCTGTGGCCCTGGGTGAATTGATGACCTGTTAACTGGGCAACTGGATGGCCCAGAGGTGGAGGCCCATGGACACCCCAGAATAGTGGGGTGGGCAAGGGGCTGATGAAAAGTGGGAGGAAGCCATACCCCTCTCCCCACCCCTGTGCTCTAATCCACTCTTGTTCCCTGTTAGGCGCTTCGGCACAAAATGCACAGCCTGCCAGCAGGGCATCCCCCCGACCCAGGTGGTCCGCAAGGCACAGGACTTCGTCTACCATCTGCACTGCTTCGCCTGCATCATCTGCAACCGGCAGCTGGCCACGGGGGACGAGTTCTACCTCATGGAGGACGGGCGACTGGTGTGCAAGGAGGACTACGAGACAGCCAAGCAGAACGGTAATCAGCTGAGCCCTGCATGGCCAACCTCTGTCCTGCCAGAGTCCAGGCTGCCCACCCCTTGGAGCCCTGCAGGCATCCTGCCTCTTCTAGAACCTTCCCAGATGCCTGAAGGGAGAGAGATCTCCCCCCACCCCCCACCCCCAGTCCTTGGCACTGGCTGCCCCATTGAAGCATCAATCAAGTTATGGTTGCTGAGCAGCTGCTTGTTTTGGGACAAGGCAGTACTTTGGCTCAGGAGTAGCCGGGGACCTTGTGCTCATCATCACTTTGTCTCCCCATATTGGGACTTAGCCACTGGATCCCCAGGGAAGGTCCATGTTCCTTAGTTTTGTTTTTTTTTTTTCTGCAAATCTTTATTGTTTCCATTTGGTCCAAGGCTTGAGAGAGCGCTCTAAGGTGTTAACAAGCTGCCCAGTGGTTGTAGAGAGGGACTTTAGGCAGAAACCCTGACACTAGAGGGGTTCCTCAAAGGTCGCTGGGCTCCAGAGACTCCTAGTTGTGCTTGAGGATGAGACTTTTGAAGAGATATTCTCCCAACCCCGCCCAGGGACCAGCGAGCCTGCAGAGGTGGGTCAGGTGGTCACCCAGCTTCTAGATAAGTTTCACCTCCTGCCCTAGGAATGGTTCTCCAGGAAGTCACAGATGCAGGGTCTGTGTGGGGAGAACCCAGGCCATGCAGATCTGAAAGGGTCTGCTTTGGGTTCTTCTGCATGAGAAGGGTGGCTTCCATAGTATCCTGGGTCTTACCCCACTCATCTCGAGGTGGCTCTTGCATGTCCAGGAAGAGGGCGCAGCCGCTGCGCTGGTTTTGCATGTTCAAGACACACTCCATGCCCTTGTACTCCTCCTTGGCCAATTCGCAGGAAAAGTGGCCCACACCCTCCAGAGCCATACTGTCGTGGTTGAGATAGAAGCCCAGAGAGAGGTAGGTATAGGAGACCCGCAGACGCATGTTGACCAGGCGGTTGATGGCGGCCTCCCCTTGGTGGAATAATTCTGACGCATCTGGGAGCTCATGGTTGATGGGTAAAAGAGCCAAGCTCAAAAAACGGTGTTGGCTGGTCCTAGTGCTCGCGGACAGCTGAGTGGCAGATTCCAAAGGTCGCGACTGGTGAAAAGGTTGGAGGGCGGTCGGAGGCTGGAGCAAGGGGCGTCCTTGGGTCTGTTCGCTTCGAGCATTGTTGAAGCAAGAGACAGATCCCTGGGACCGCACTACCCTTAGCTTTGTATATCAGGGTGCACATTTACCTCAGCACCTCCACACCTCAAAGCCTTCAGTCAGCAAGAGCCCTTGCATTGACCTAAGTCCCCCTTGGAACAGGTCAGCTTGTGCTTCAGTTAAACGTGCTGTTTCTCCTCTCAGACTGCAGGCTCCTTGAGGGCAGGGACATGGGGGTGATGACTCTTGTATCTCCCAAAGGCCCTCATGTGGGAGCAGATGCTCAGCCGGTCTCCTCGCTCATGGAGACTCATCCATCTCGACCATCTGCTCCCGTGCACCCGGCCACCCTCCCCAACCACCTCTGGGCCACGTCCGTGGTCTGCACAGAAGCTGACGGCACAGACCGAGGCTGCTGTTGGGCCCCAGCATTGAGCAGCCACCCCAGAAAACCTGCCTTCACAGGGGTGGCAGGGCAGCAGCTGCTCCTGCTGCCTAAAGTCGCGCTCTTGGGCAGCCCTGGGTCTTTCCTGGGACTTTTCAGGGCTTGGGGAGCTCTTGGACCCCAATTCCCTGGCTCCCCTCTGAAAGACCAAATCTGATTTCCCACCTCCTACCACCTCACCTCAGGCTCCTCACTCACAGCTGTACCCTTCAGCCTGGCTCAGATTTTGGCATTTGGCCAAACTCACCTTGGCCATTTTAGATGCATGAACTCACGAAACATCAAGGTCGTTTGCCCTTGACTAGAATTTTTATGAACTCAGGGTGTTACTGCAGAATGCTCTTGTTGACAGTTCTGGGATTGATGAAAAAATACAAAAAACAAAGCAACGACAATTTCGTGTATATCCTTCCAGGTCTTTCTTGAGTTCCCACCTATATATTATATAGTTATGATCAATACATGGAGAAATTAGTTTTTTGCTTAATAAATGCAGTTCAAGGATGGTGATGGGGAGGCCCTTTCAGTGAGGCTGCTGGAACTCAGCTTGGCTCTGGCAGAGGTGGGAGGGATGGCACCTCTCTCTTCCACCACCTGCCCCCCACTTCACCCCTCTCCCCCAGCTCTGGCCTTCAGCATGGACAGCCCTTCCATCTTTTCTCTTTCCCGGGCCTCTGCAAGCCTGTTCCCGGGCTCTTTGCTTTAATGTATTAATCTTCTCTGGCTCCTTAAAACTCACTCGGTGCTGTTGCTTTGGAGTCAATTACGGTGTCACAGAAGATTAGGGCATCTTGTCAGGGATAAACCATCAACGCAGAGGGACTCAGAGAGCTCAAGCTGTCTTCGGAACTCTGATGCCCTTCATCAGAGACATTAAGGATGCAGGGCCCCCCAGGCTGGTGGCTGCTTCTCGCCATCAGAGGCCTCGTTTAGACCCTGAGAAGTCACAGCCTGGCCTCCGCTGCTGCTGTCGATGGGTCAAGAGAAAGGGGAGACCAGCTGGGGAGGCAAGAATGACCCAGTGGAGCTCACACTTGTATCCAGGATTGTTTGAGTCATGGCAGAACCTCTGTAGGACAGTGGAAAGACACTGGATCTGGCCTCAGAGGCTGGGGGGCATCCCTGCTGGGTCACCCACTAACTTGGGTGTCCCCTGGCGATTGTGTACCTGGTTGAGCCTTGGCATCTCAGCTCCACGTGGGGGGTCAGAGCACCAGCCACATGGGGCTGTGTCCTGGGGTTCAGAGAGGCTGCAGCTTATGGAATGGGATGTCTGTCACATGAGGGAGAGACCAGTGCAGAAGAGAAATGCAAACAGTAAGATGTGCTGTAGGTTTGCCAACAGCTGGGCGTTACACAGTATTTCTGGTGTGTTCTGCCAGCCTCTGGCTATCCACAAGGCTGAGAACACTGCATCCCATGGAATCTGGGTGATTCTTAGTGCAGCAGGGGCCTTGGTCTGCTGTGGGACTTCGGGCTGTCTCTTTATGTTTTGATCCCTCCTTGCTAATTCAAACCCTCTTTCTGACCTAGGTTCCCTCCATTGCGCTACACAAAGGATTGAGTATCAGTTATTTGTACCTTGGTGTGAATGATTTTGTTCATTTGTTACATTTTCTTGAATATTTGCATTTTCAATATAATGAGGTTGCCTTTTATGCCAGGGACAAGTGCTAGGAGACCCTGCATAATTCAAAACTAACATATTTTAAGGCTAATTTTCCCATAGGAATTAATGTGAAAAATTGGGGTGGGATGTATTCTGGGAGCACATAAATCCATAACGAGTGAAATGTATCTTTGCCTTAATGCTACTTTTTATTTTCTCAGCACTATCTCAGTCCCTCCCAGATGCTCTCTCCTAAATTAACAGCCTAGGGTATCATGGTCTTGCTTGGCCTTCCTCATAGCGTTTTATCACATTTAACTTCCGCACCAAAGTTATTGATTTTTGGGTACATTTTTCAGCATGAGCACTGCCACCGCTACTTAATGAATACTTGGATGACATTGTTATAGGATATAAAAAAGATTTTAAATTATAATAACCGTGAATGTTAAAATAACAGCATAATAGTCCCTGTAATCGCAAGAAGAAAGTTCTGTGCACGTAGCCAGCAGTACAGAACCAAGGAGCCACCAACCCAGGACAATAGGGGTTTGTCCCGATGCACTGCCCCATGGCCATGGTGAGAACAATTTCTAATTCACTAGGGCAACCTATTTTGAAATTAAGTGATTCTTGATGAATTAAAAATTTGGAGTGTTTCCATTATTTCAAGTTTTGTGTATAAAGAGAATATGGATTTTTTTTTAGGTTTAAAATTTTTTTTTTTTTATTTTTGGCTGCACTGGGTCTTCATTGCTTTACACGGGCTTTCTCTAGCTGCATCGAGCAGAGGCTGCTCTTCCTTGCAGTGTACAGGTTTCTCACTGTGGTGACTGCTCTTGTTATGGAGCATGGGCTTCTTGGCACGCGGGCTTCAATAGTTTCGGATCTTGGACTCTAGAGTGCGCGCTCAGTAGTTGTGGCCCACAGGCTTAGCAACTTCTCGTCATGCAGAGTCTTCCCGGATCCGGGATTGAACCCGTGTCCCCTGCACTGGCGGGCAGATTCCTATCCACTGCACCACTTACTCCCCATTGGCAGGAACTCTGAAGAGCATGTGAATATTTTTAAAATGCACTATTTTGTATTTACATCAAGTGCTGTTGTGTTGTTATCTCTATAATATGGGAAGAAGGAAGTGATTCCTAACAACGAGTTTTGAAGGTTTTCCTCAGTGTCTGCCTCGGGGACTCTGGAGCCCTTCCTCATTGGGTTCAGGACCCCAGGGAGGGACTTGAGTGGCGGGGCTTTGAGGATGGTGGTGGCTCTGCTGGGGAGGAAAACAGCCCAAGGAGGAGGGAGGACTGGGGGCCTTGTCTCCCATCCACGTGTGCACCATGGCTTGTAGTGTGAGCCGGGCTGCATGACTGCTTACTGCTACACCGTGCTGCCGACACCCAGGCTTCTGAATGGTGAGGGGACTTGCCCACATCACTGACTCAGTGAGAATGGTGAACCCAGGTCTTCTGACCCTGAGAAAAGCCTTTTAGAATGGTCATGAAGATCACAGGCACATAAAGCTCTTGATAAACATCAGCTATTATTGTTGTTTTAAGAGAGGACATCCTTGGATGGAAGGGAAGAAAGGGAAGAAGATAGACATGGAGCAGACCCTCAAAGGACACCAGTGTGAAGGGGTGCAGAGAACTCAGGGGGCTGGATGCAGCTGCCCATTCCCTCTTCTGCGACTCTGGGCAGGGGTGCTAGGCAGAGAATGGATAAGCCTAAGTGCTGGGAGAGGAACAAACCCTTTACACTCAGTGCTTCTTCTGTGCTTGACTCTGGCTGAGAAGAGCCTTTGACTTACAGGCACATGAGGCTCAAAATCCGTTGAGGACAGTTGATTAGTCAGCTTGTTGTCCTGAACACTCTTTCAATTTGTTTGAATATAAACCACAGTGAGAAACTTGTTTTGTTTCAACTCAGCACACATATTCATACACCTGACACTGATCAAGTTTCATGAAGCAACACTTGCCCTCATCTGCCTCATCCTTCCCACCCCAGCCCACTCCACCCCACCCCATCTCACCCCAATCCCATCCCATCCCATCCCATCCCATCCCCATCCCCATCCCCATCCCATCCCATCCCATCCCATCCCATCTCATCTCATCTCATCTCATCCATCTTATTTCCTCTTTTAGTTTTTGATCAAGTAAGTTGACTTTACAACCCACTTTTGGGTTCTGACCCATAGTTTATGAACTTTGCTTAGGTGAACAGTGAATGGACAGGTCCGCTTTGCTATGAGCCCAGGGCTGTGGAAAGGGAGTGAGGTCATGGGTGGGACCTGGGGGAGTGGAGGCTTCTGATGGGAGTGGGGACAGGCATCTGGGGCAGCCCAGGGCAAAGGCTTTCTTCTGTCTCCTTCCCTTCCGCAGCCTTGGGCGGTAACTCACAGGTTGGTCAGCGGAGTGTTTGCCATGATGGGGAAACATGTAGAATGGTACGCCTTCAGTCTGATGAGAGCCCCGTGTGGCTGGGCTGGGAGGGGATGGGGAGAGGCAGGGAGATGAGGGAACAGCATATTGTCCTACCTTTTCGGTGACCTGGGAAGGCCTGTAGTGTGGGAGTGGGCTCCATGTGGGTCAAGAGTACTCTCCCCTGACGTTCCCCATCCTCCCTCCTTCTTGCCCATAGCAGGCAAGATTACATGAGGAGAGGAGGAAGGAGGGATGAGACCCAGCTGCTTCAGATGAGCTGGACACAGTAAGAAGTGGTTTTCGTTGTAGATGACTCAGAGGCTGGAGCTAAGCGGCCCCGGACTACCATCACAGCGAAGCAACTGGAGACGTTGAAGAACGCCTATAAGAACTCCCCTAAGCCTGCCCGGCATGTGAGGGAGCAGCTGTCCTCAGAGACAGGCCTGGACATGAGGGTTGTACAGGTGAGGCCCCAGCCACCCGACTCCTGGGGCTCCTTTGCTGACCAGGGATCCCAGGCCGGGCACCACGCGGTGCCGGGCCTAGCATGGGGGTGGCAGGTGTCCTGTGGGTCCCCACATCCGCGCCGTCCACAGGAGGACGGCTCCAGGTAACCATGGCACCTCATCAGTGTGGTCCCTGATCCCCTCGGGGCGCTGGGCTCAGGGCTACGGCCCCAGGAAATCTGCTGAACCAGAGAGATGTCTGAGGCCCAGGCCAGGGGAGCGATGGGCATAGCCCGTTCCTCGCCCATCTGCTGAGGCTTCAGGCTTTGTCTCTGGTCTCGGGGACCCCGGGGGCTTTGGGCTCGTGGCGGACAGCCCCGAGCGTGTCTGTTTGCTTGTGGCAGGTTTGGTTTCAGAACAGAAGGGCCAAGGAGAAGCGACTGAAGAAGGACGCAGGGCGGCACCGCTGGGGGCAGTTCTACAAGAGCGTCAAGAGGAGCCGGGGAGGCAGCAAGCAGGAGAAGGAGAGCTCTGCGGAGGACTGTGGGGTTAGTGACAGTGAGCTGAGCTTCCGAGGTGAGCAGGGCTGGAGGGGCGAGGCCGAGGCCCTAGGAGAGGCCCCTGGGGAACAGTGACCCCCGACAGGCAGCCGGGGTCTTTCTGGAGGCCTTGCCAGCTCTCTCCTGAACACAGGCCCCACCCTGTGGCTTGGGGTGAAGGGTGGGGGGAATGGTCATGGCCCTTGCAGAGGGGACAGGGCAGAGGAAACCAGAGCTCTGCGGCTGACCCATGGAAGCTGGGCTCCCAGGCCTGTGGGCCCGAAGGCCTCCCCTCCTTGCCCGCTGCCCGGGGCTCCCTCGTCAGCCCACACAGCTGCAAAGGACCCCTGTGTCTCAGTCTGTGCCCCAAGCCCCTCTCCTGCATTTCTCCCCTCAGTGGGGGCAGTGGCCTTCCTCCCGCGACCCCCTAGAGTGCGCCCCCGCCTCTGCTGCTGGTGGGAGGATGTGCGTCACAGCCCTTGGCCCTGGGGAGTCAGTACTGTGAGTGCATGTGAGGTGGAGACCGGCCTCATTCTGAAACCCCTTTCCCCACTGCTCACTTCATCTTGTCCCCAGCACATATGCTTTGCTGCATGTGCTACATTCAAATTTTGTGCGTCAGCAGAATTGCAAATGGCTGCATGTTTTGGATACTTTGGTTGTTTGCAAATAGCCATTCTCTTGTATCAAGTCCTCAAATGTGGAAGGTCTTCTGTTGTGGCAGGAGAAGGGAAGAGGCCTGAGTTGGGGGAATCAGAAATCTGGTTTCCAGTCGTGGCTCTGTCAAATTGATTTACTTTTCTTGAGCCTCAGTTTACCCATCTCTAAATGGGTATAACCGTATCCTTGCCCATCTCCCAGGGGTATTGTGGGAATCCGTAAATACAACTGACTGTGGATGCGTTTGGAGAGAGCTCAGCACGTTTTTGCGCTTGGGAAGACACAACCATTCTTAGGCAGCTCGTGGTTCCCACAGAGGGCGCTGGCACTTGGGATGACAGGTGTAGGCAAAATGCCAGTGAATGGCCATTTTATAGCAGAGCTGAGCCTTCATCTCCTGCCCCCTCTAAAGGGCACGACTCATCTCCCCCTTTCCATTTTCATGGATGGGATGCGGGACGACCTAAGGCAGGTTGTCAGAAGGGGTAGGTGTTGAAGTCCACTCTGGCCTTGGTAGGAATGGACACACAGGCCCAGTGGGAATAGAAAGGAAGTCTGTGGCGCAGCAGATGGCAAGATCTGCCTGCGAGGACCATGATTTCCTGAGAGGACCGTAGGTCAGCCCAGAGGTCTGCCCATGAGGCCCTGGGGCATGTTCAGGGGCCTTATGCTCACCTTCCAGGCCTCTTGGCTGGGGACGTGGGGGTGGAAAGCCACTCAGTCTCCTCTCAGCTGCTGAAATCAACATCTGGAGCATACAGGATTGTTAAGTCTTGTTTTGTAGCTCCTTTCCATTGGGTGCAGGTGGGCCCCCAAGTTGACATATCACTGGTCTCTCCACGTAACTATATAACCTTATTTTTCTTAAGACTAAAATTTTTCACCTCCATTGGAGAGATGAATTCTTCCAGGTGGCAAAGATTCCACGAGATCCCCTTAAAGAAATTCCCCAAGAAACAAGAAGGTCCATTTGCCTTAATCAATCCAATGCTTTGTCCCCAGTGAAGAACTTATTGATAGAGAAACCAAGTCCTTTGACACTGAACCTCTTTCCCAGGTAGAGCAGAAAGCTTTTGTGGACATGTCTTGAGTCCTCAGCTCCCTTCACCCTATAGCCCTGCCTGTTTCCCTACAACTGAATCAAGCACTTTTTTTTAGCTCGAAAGCTTTCCGATTGAATCTCGTTAGCACAGTTTCTTCCATTTGTGCTGTGGATGACATGTGATGCAGCAAACCTCAGGCATTCGTATTCCATAGCCGGCAGTGTGGCCATCTTCCTACATGAGCTACCTGAGACCAACAAGCTCACGAAACATTTGTCCAGCCCTCTGGGACCTGGGCGTGTGGTCTCTGGAGGTGTCTGTTCTGTTTTCCCCCTTGACGCGGGTCAGGGTCTGGATGCCAGGATGGCATGTTGGTGTCTGGTTCGTGCTCGGGCTTCTTTCCTGGTCATGTGTATTCCTAGGTTGTGAAGAACAGGGGACCACTGGAGTCCTGGCGGCTGACAATAAATGTCTGTTCTTTTGTCCACAGAGGATCAGATTCTCTCAGAACTTGGCCACACCAATAGGATTTATGGCAACGTGGGGGACGTTTCAGGCGGACAGTTAATGAATGGGAGCTTCTCCATGGACGGGACAGGACAATCCTATCAGGACTTGAGGGATGGGAGCCCCTATGGAATCCCCCAGTCTCCATCCTCCATCTCGTCCCTGCCATCCCACGCTCCTTTGCTCAATGGGCTGGATTACACGGTGGACAGTAACTTGGGCATCATTGCGCACGCAGGGCAGGGAGGAAGCCAGACACTGAGAGCCATGGCTGGGGGACCCACCTCTGACATCTCCACAGGAAGCAGTGTAGGCTACCCCGACTTTCCGACTAGCCCGGCCTCTTGGCTCGATGAAATGGATCATCCTCCTTTTTAAACACCTCTCCTCCCCACCCTACCTGTCCTTCTGGCTTGAGAGAATGTCTTCAAGGATCGAAAGACACTTGCCTTTTAAGGATCGAAAGTGCATCAATGTGAATTTCCATTATTTTCAATGGAAGTCCTCTGCCGATCCCAGGGAGGTCGCGGCGGGACCCCACTGGGGCTGGCTTTCCTGGGAGGCGGTGGGAGACCAGCCGCCTCTCAGACACAGCACAGGGACGCAGAGCCCAGAGCGCTAGGGTGCAGGCTGGTCGGTCCTCCCCTGCCCTCATCCTGCTTACAGGCTTTGGCTGCTCAGTGCTTGGTTGATGGGGCGACTGTGTCAGGCCACCTAGGCCTTCGGGAACTCTGCTCCAACTGGAGAGTCTCATGAGATGTCTCCCGAACCACTGCTCTCGCCAGAACCGAGATTCCCGAGGTGGAGGCCTCATGGCCCTTGAGTATCGAGAAAAGTGATTTCTGGACCACCCTTACTTAACCCCAATTTTCAAAATTAAAAAAAAGTCACTTATTAAAGATCAGTGGAAAGCTTTGATGACCACAGTTTGATGTTGAAAACATGCTCCCTCCTCTTTTTTGTTTTTGTTTTGCTATGAAAAAATATGACTTTTTCCCTACCCAGAACTACACGCCAGAGACAATTTTGTCAGTTTTGGTTTTTATGAAATTCCATCCCAATCACTGAATCCCTGATGGCAAGAAGTGGTTTTCATTGCAGGTGACTCTGAGGCTGGAGCCGAGTGGCCCTGGACCATCCCAGCGACTGCCTGACAAGTCCCCCTGGTGCACAATGTGCCTTTTTAATTTGCTTGTATTATTTATTCCACAAGACAGGCTATGGGTTCCAAAATGATCAAAGCTAAAATATGGAGAGAACAGAACGACAATCAGTGAACACATTTGTAGACGTTTGGATTCCAAACATGCAGTCAGTTTAGCCAAATCAGCAGATGCTAGTCTCCCAGAGTTCTCATCCGGTAGGGCGAAATGACATTGGATCTGTTTGGAGGAAGTTGGTTTAGATGAGACTGTAAGCCCACTGCCCACCTGCAGCCAACCGTCCTCAGCCCTTTAAAAATGAGCGCTTTCTCTGTTGCACTACCTGACTCAGTAGGAGGGCAGTCCTGGCCTCTTCTGAGTACTGGCCATGCTTCTTGGCCCATCTTGGTTGGGAGGAATCATTTAGGGAGCGGCCCTTAAGTTGTCCACAGGGTTCCAGATGGCCCTTGGGCTGCATCCCTCTGGGTTGTTGGCTGGGCTCATGCCAGGCCCTGTGGGCTCCAGTCCTGTGCTCAAAAAGGCAGAGCTCTCTGGCCCCTGGCAGTGCAGAGGCTCTCAGCTTGCAGGTTTGCAATAGCAGGTCACTAAGCCTGGGATAAGGGCAGGGCCACCCCTGCTTTATGAGCTGCTGTCTCTGCAACAGACTGTGCTTCCACAGGAAATGCCGTTGTGATGGTGCTGCAAGTCCCACCTTTTGTCACACATCTGTCCATCCAGAAGCTTTCCATGTGCATATGGAACTTAGCCAGGTAGAATCGATTCCAGTCCCCTTGGGAGACGGTGGTTTGCTTCTGCTGGCCTCCCAATCTCTTGAACAAGATCAGCAGAGTGGGAAAGGGTAAGAAGGCATTGCCTTTCTTTCACAGCAAGTGATGGGGCCAGAGCACCTGAGGACCCTTCCTTCCAGGAATGGTTTTGAGGACCACAAAAGTTTAGGTATACAGTAGGCAGACTAAAGGAAGAAATCAGTACTTCCTTTCTGGATGCTGCATCTTTCGTAAACTACTTTCCAGGACTAAACTAAGGTCAGTGAAGCTTCTTTAAAATAGATAGTAAATTCCTGGATCAGCCTTCAGGCCATCTTTTTTCTGATCAATTTTGTAGTGTACCCTTATTTTTTGATGTGCTTGATTGTTGTGATTTTTTGCTTGGGGAGTCTGCAAATGTAGACTCTCTGCCCATGATTCCAGGTGTCAGGATGACGGTGTGTTAAGCCTGGCCAATTCTATGTGCTATTGGGAATTCCCCAGTAATGTGAATATTCAGGGTGGGGATGGAGACACAAATGCAAGATAACAAGCCATGTGAAGGAAAGGAAAATGCAACTGTCTTTTTGGAGGACAGATTCTTAGGCATACTGTTCTTAGCAGGCTGCTTACAAAACACAGGAGAAAGACTGCTGGATTAAAACCAGTTAAGAACTGCCCCACTTAGACCACTGTCTCGGCCTGATTACTTGGAGTATCTCATGGGATCTCAGAGACCCTTTGTATTTTTGCTGAGTGCAGTACTGGGAGAGCAAGCTCTTTAAGATGGAGGGGGGGAGGTGGTTGTTGCATCCCCCTCTGTGTAGCCCTGCTTTTGGTGCCTAGATGAAATTGACCAGTTTTTGTTTCTGTAGGTGGGTTCATCAGGCTCACTCTATTCATTCATAAGAGAATGGAAGGCCTCCCTCATTCATGCACTCCAGTGAGGAGTGCAGGTGACACTGTGTTGGGAGGAGTTCTTTTGGTTTGGTGGGGTTGACTAGCCAGGAGGGCTCTTGAGCAAGCCCTGATCAGAGAGCCAGGGGAGCTGAGTGTAAGTTCCCAGGGCCACCTTGCCAGAAAGCAGCAATCACTGGTGCTGCCATCTAGAAACACAGTCATGATCGGTCTCAGATTTTTCGTGGGTCTCTGTGCAAGTGGGGTTAGCATTATGGGGCTAGTGCCACCCATAAGCCCATAGGCCAAGACAGTTCCTTGGCTCTTTTGAGGCTCAGGGATGGAGAAGAATGAAACTATCCTGAGATTATGGTCCAGGCACTCCTCTATTGCTCAGTAGTCTGTTATGGACGTATGCTACATGGGAGCTTTTCTCCCCATTGCGAAATGACACGGATGAATTTTAAAAATGAGATGACACCTTCTAGAGGCACTTACACTACTTGGACCTGTCTTTGGCTCTAGGAGAGCAATTAACTAACAACTGTTATCTGTGGTGCCTGGCTGATAGACCTGAGGGTAGGAAGCTTCTGAATCCAGGAGCAAATTAATACAATGAAAAAAAAAAACCACCCAAATTTCTGGTGGTAACTGATAAAAGCAAAAATGGAATCTGCAAGGCAATGGAAGAATCTGCATTTGCTGAAAAGTAGTAAGACCAGGGAGGAAATCCCAAATGCAAGGGCTAAACTGGCCACTGGGTAAACCACACCGTGGGGAAGCCTGGACCCCAGTCCTTCAGGAACTGCCAGTGCCCCCCGAAGCCAACTCCTTCCTGTCCTTGTGCTTTTTCTTTCTTGCCTCATCTGACAGTTATAAAATGAAAACCAACTACCAGATTGATCACATTATTCATGCAAACTAATACCATGAAACACCAGGGAAAGAGGACAAAATTAAGACAGAAGAAAAGCATTTGGCAGTGTCGTTCAATAAGGTGTTTTTGTTTTTTTTGGGGGGGGGCCAGTGTAAAATATGAAATCTGATAAAGATCCCTGGGGGCCGTTAGATCTTTGCAGTGAAGTTCACTTTGCAAGAAGTATAAGAAATCTGACAAGACAAAAGATGTTAGCATCTCTGAAGCTCGAGCTGGTTATTCTGATACAACTGCCTCCTGGCCGGAGGGGTTGAAGGCTTCAGCTTAGCAACAGCTGTGCGCTGTGTGACAGGCCACTATCCGCCACCCGCACCCCCGCTCGCCCCCTCCCTCTGACCACTTGGTTATAACCATGGAAATAATGACCGTACCTCCTCAGCCAGCAGGGTCTGGAAGGACCGAGGAGGCTCATTTTTAAACATTGCACTTTAAAAATTGGAAACCGTGAGATGAAGAAAAATTCAATTAAGCGGAAATGAGTTTTGTTTTATTGCCTGCTGCTGAAGGGCGCTGGGCATGCTGAAAGCTAAATAAAAAGCACATCACTGCCTCTCTCTTTCTTGGATTGGTCGATGGGCCCTTTTTGCAGTCATTGCTCCAACTGCTCTAACACGGTGACTGGAGCCAAAAAGAGAGAGTGCAGCAAAGTCACCCCATCCCCACTGCTTGGTAGGACCACACGGAAAGCACAGTTTCAGCTGCGAGCTCTGGTGAGGAGTCAGCTGCAGGTCTGGGAGGCGCGCCAAGCATCCCTTTGCTTCGGGAGGCAGAGCACAGGTGGACAGAGCCGGACCCCCCACGCTCACCCGCTGCCCGCCTAGAGACAAGAACGATTTGTAAGTTCCCCACTTGAGGACTGTGTTTAGCCAAACACGCAGGTTCAGTGCCGCAGCATCTCAGAAGCTGCTCTGAACTTGCATTCAGACCTCAAAGCCCCAGATCCCCTAAGCTCTGGATTGTCGCCCTCACCCTTCGCAGTGTAAATTTTGTACAGTTAAAAAGAAATGGAGTCTCATTTCCTGGGAAAAAAAGAAAAAGAAGAAAAAAAAAGGACCCACCCATCCTTATTTATGGCCATGTGACTTTGGAACACAGAAGCTGGTGCGTTTGTTTGTATGTGCCTCCTGTGTGTTGGCATGATGAGATGTGTATGGTAAAACTATGTCAAATAAATATGGAAATTCTTTAGAAGCCCATGTGTCTTGCTTTTCATTTGGCTTTCTGGAATGTTTTTCTCTTTACATAATAGAATACAAAGCTGTGCTGACATAGATCCCTTTCATCGCCAGAAGGGAACCCAAGGTACAACTCTGAATGCGGAGATACTTACAATTGCGAATACCTGTACTATGCAATAAAGGGTTGGGTAGAGGAAGTTCTCTGATTTTTCTAATAATTTTTCTTTTTTCAGTTTTCTGGGGCCCAGTCCTCTGTTTCAAGGCTTAAGGAATGGGCAGAGAAAACTAGCTGATTACATACATTTTAGTTACCATTTGTCCTGTTGCATTTTTTAAAAAAAGATTTCACATATTTATTACTGAGCCACACAGGGCACTAGTGAGGAAACAGGAAACCTTAGGAGTCAAGCTCTGTCTCTTGCATGAGCTCTTCAGACAGCAGTCATGTTCTTACTACTGTGCTTTGGTTGGTTGAGGATGCAGGTGACCTTGACATAGCATGAATGTATGCCACTTCATATGTGAGGCCCTTATAGACCCAGCTTGGTTCTTCTCCAGTGTCTTCTTTTGGAGTTATACCCAATTTTATTGCCAGTTTTCATTCGAATCTGTTGGGGAAATGGGATGATTCTGCTATTGTTTCTTGGCCAGGAATTGCATGATCCTGAAAGTCTTGTGAGAAAACAAGAGGAGCAAATTCAGCCGCACATGGTGATGGTAGAGAAGAGAAAAGAGCTGTCCTGTTGTGTTTTTAAAGTCCTTCACATGTATACGTTTTCTCCTGAAGGATGTACAAATGTCTGTATTTGGGTAAGAGGTGAACAGAGGGATAGAAACACCTCATCAGGGCTCCTGGAGAAACTTTTCCAGGAAAATCTCCAGTTGTTTTTTTTTTTTAATCTGCTGGAGACTTTATTAGTGTGCAGGAC